CTATGGGGTCCGTTGTACCATCTACACGGACCACAAGAGTTTGAGGCACCTCATGGATCAGCCTAATCTGAACATGAGGCAGCGTCGGTGGTTGGACGTGGTGAAGAATTACGATTTTGAGATCCTTTACCACCCGGGGAAGGCCAATGGATGCGCTTAGCCGCAAGGCAGCGCCGATCAGGGACATCTGCATGAGGATGACCGTGGTGACTCCGCTTTTGGAGTGGATCCGAGAGGACCAGCTAGAGGCCATGAAGGAGGAATATCAGAAGAGCGAGCATATTGTGGGTCAGGTTTCCTCCTTCGACTACGACGGCCGAGGGTTATTGACTCTACATCGTAGGGTATGGGTTCCCTATCATGGGGGTGTGAGCCAGGTTCGGATGGTGGAGGTGCACAAATCCCGATTCTCGATTCATCCCGGGGCGACGAAGATGTACAGAGATCTTCAACCCGATTACTGGTGGCCCTGCATGAAGCGGGACATCGCCTGGTATGTACATCGGTGGTTGACCTGCAGGAAGGTCAAGGCCAAGCACCAGAGGCCACATGGCAAGATGCAGCCGCTAGACATTCCCATGTGGAAATGGGAAGATATTACTATGGATTTCATCACCAAACTTCCTAGGACTGCACGGGGAGTGGATTCGATATGTGTCATCGTGGATCTGTTGACCAAGAGCGCCCATTTTATACCGATCCAGGAGAGCATCTCGGCCGAGAAGCTGGCCGAGATTTATGTGCGAGAGGTAGTGGCACGTCATGGAGTGCCTGTCTCGGTGGTGTCATACCGAGATGTCCGGTTTACTTCCAGGTTTTGGAAGCGGTTTCACGACGAGATGGGTACTCGTCTCCATTTCAACACCGCTTTCCACCCTCAGACGGACGGACAGAGCGTGATGACGTGCCTAAACCGGCACGGAGGAGTCACGTCTGCCCAAGATACCTGGCGCCCCGGCCGAGCCAAGAGGAGCGGGCTCAGCGTCTGCCAGTGCCCCTAAGAGCAGGGTGCCTCGACAAAAGGCTCGCGCCCGCCAGAAACGCTCCCAGCGTCAAGAGAAAGGATACAGTCAAGCGACAAGGCAGAGGATCAGAGCATTACCTCCGGAGCCAATGGCAGAACTCTGACATAAAGAGGCACATAACCCTCCAATGAGCGCCTCTGACCTTGTCCCCTAAAAGCGATCTTGTCCCGTACGGACGAGCAGGGTCGCTAGGTATAAAAGGGCGCACTCAGAAGCCCTAAAGGTAAGCCATCTTCTCTAAGTGCAATAACCCTAACACACCGAATATCCTATCTAACTTGACCGTCGGAGCGTTCTTCCGGGAGAGTCCTCCCAGAAAGCGGCTGACGGCTGTTCTTTCGTGTGGCCTTGCAGATATATCCAGACATCCGATCGGAGAGCAAATCGAAGATTGATCGCAAGGTCGCATTATTTGGCGCCATCTGTTTTGAGTGACGAAGAACGAAACAAAAACCACTGTTCCAACAGCATCAATGGCGTCTGACGGCGGTGATGGGGTTGCGGGAACCCAGAACTGCCCTGTACGCCCCATGGCACCGTTGGACGACATATCGCCGCCCATAATGGCCACCAATGAACCCTCCGGCGAAGGGAGCTCTATGCTAACTACAATATCTCCGGTAACCCAACAGCTAGCTCCACCACCCCTTTCGCTGCCAACAACAAGCATATGAGCCATCATCCAACCGCCATCCCGACAACCAGGGCCACGTATGGGAACGGTACCACTAGTCACACCTTTGCCGACACCGTTAACATTCCAGCCAACGGCGACGTAACTTTCGGTAAACTAAACGTCACACTTTGTTACCCCGATGGCACAACGCCAGCTTCCCCTTTTTCCAGCAATGATGCCAGCAAGCCAAGCACCAAACACCCAACCGCCATTCCACGTGTCACTACAGAACCAGATACCGACGAGTACACCCCCGATGCTCCCGCCGCTCGTGTAAAAAATGGTAGCGCCACCATTGTTCCTTCACCTCTCGACAGGCACGTGGGGTGAGCCTATAGTGACCGCCCACACAAGTCAACAACAGCCTGCACCAATGCAGCCTCTGGCTCAACCTCAACTTCTACACCCGGGATACTCGCTGCAGCTGCCGTTCCAGCAACAGACATTCTATGGTCCTAACCCAGGATACCAAGCGTTCTACGGTAACCACGGGGTACAGCCATGCAACACGCCCCATCATTATAATTTACAGGGCTCGCTAACCGTCCCCAATCAGGACTGCCTGTCACGGAGTGTCACATCTCCGTTTGCCAAGGAACTGCTGGATTATGAGATCCCAAACATAGCGAAGCTCCCCAACTTGAAAACTTACAACGGTACTACCGATCCGGACAGTCATATTGACACATATGAATGGACAATGACGTCGCTAAAGCTAGACGAACGTTTCTGGTGCACATACTTCCCAACGACGCAAGACGGAAATGCAGGCACGTGGTTCAAGACGCTACGCCCGGGTAGCATTTACAACTTTGGTCAACTCAAGTATCTTTTCCTTACCAACTTCATGCAACTGCGAAAGTACAAAGGCAATTCACATTCCATCATCAGATGTAAGCAAAAGGAAGGGGAAAGCGTAAGAGAATACTTCACACGGTTTACAAACGCCACGTTAGATGTGCCGGGTCACGACGAGGGTCTTATAGCAGGAGCTTTCACATGGGGGCTCCTTCCCGGCCCTGCATGGTGTTCCCTTGATGATATATGGTCCATTGGCATGGCCTAGACTGCTCCAGCGCGCCAGCCTGGCCTGGCGCGCTCCTGCCAGCCCTGCCTGGCGTTCCCTTGCGAGCCTTGCTGGGGACTCCCTTGCCAGCCCTTCTGGGGACTCTCCTGCCGGCTCGGCCAGGTGCTCCCTCGCCTGGCACTCCCTTGCCATCCTCTCCTGGTGCGCGCCCGCCAGCCCTGCCCGCCGCCTCCGGGCGGCTTTGCCCAGCTCCTTGCTAGTTGGGCCTGAATTGGGCTGGGCCCAAGGCCTGACCTAATTGTCCCCTATATAATGAATAGTATCTCCTCCACGGAGAAGGATCTTTCCCGAGTGGCTTAGCAGCCACCATAGATCTACCCCTTGGCTCAGCCGCCGCCCTATACTCCGGCCGGGTGGCTTAGCCGCCACCCGCCGCCGTCAGCCACCATACACCACTACTAGCACCAAGATGGTTCTCTCCAGCTATGGAGGACCATCTCAGATCTTCTAGCTGATCTAACTTGACCGTCAGAGTCCGCTCCCGGGGCACAGTCCCTGGGGCGGCTCTAACGACTTTGCACTGTGATGTCAGATCTCCGCCACAGCAGAAGACCAGAAGACTCATCGGAGGTTGATGTCGCATCATTTGGCGCCATCCCGGATCCGAGCAAGTAGCAAAAGCCTCGGTCAGTTTCAAGCTCGTTCTTCCTCAGATCTGATGTGTTTTCATCTCAGGTTTCCTCAGATCTGTTAATTTCTAGTATCATTTGTTCAGATCTGTGTGTTTCTTGACAGGATCTGATCAAATTTGCTTCACCATCTCTTAGATCTGTAGATCCATCATATTTTTTAGTTCAGATCTATGGATCTATATGATTTCCTTCCCTCAAACACTCCCCAAGTGTGCACAAATCTTCTTAGATTTGTTTTTGGTTCATATTTGGGGGTTTTCTTGAGTAGGATGAAAAGAAAAAGAAGTTTTATGAGCAACATCCCACCTCAGATCCGTTTTTTCACTTTTAATATGGGATTTGTCCAGCAAGTGGGGAGAAAAGAAGTTTTTAAGAGTTTTTATTTCATTTTCAGCTCACATATTATCAAAAATCGTTTTTAGCTATGATGTTTTGTGTGTAATCCCATCTCTGCAATAATTGTTTGTACACCAAGTTGTGTTGCTTGTACATATCTCAGAACCTTCAAGAAAAAAAAGAGATGGAGAAAAGAGCTTTTCATGGGTTTTTACCCTAGCTTAGTTCATATATTTTTAGAAAACCTCATTTAGATTATGGTTTTCTGTTCATTCAAGTTGCTTAAAAGCTTGGAAAAAAAAGAGAGGGTGGGTTTTCACGAGTTCCTGCCCTATCTTCAATATATTTTGGTGTTTGGAGTAGAAAAGAAATTTTTATAAAATTTTGCATCATCTCACACCCATACATAACCAGAAAATCTCTACAGATTGAGTTTTTTCTGCATACAATTTCACTCCCTGGAACATTTGTTTGTACACACAGTTATGTTACTTGTACATCTCTCAAAAATAGCTAATAAGAGAAAAATCATCCTTTTCAAAGATACATCACATACATTTGACACCTTTGCCTCAAAAGTTACACCTACCTATTACTCTAGAGCTTACAGTCGAAAACCACATAAAACAAAAATAGTACAAAAAATGGTGCACATTGGTCTTTTGTTTCATCCTAGCCGACAAAAAAAAACGGGGGAAATGATGCACATTGCATCAGACAAGTGACAAAGAGTTGTCAGTAAAAGTCAAAAACAAATCCGGGTCCATCTCGTTCAATCCCCTATGTACAGAAAATACAAAAGAGCCGGGCCCCACCGGATCAACACATCTTCCCAGACGGCCAAAGACCTTCCCGAAACCCCAGCTTCTCTCGCCGGAACCTGGGCACCACCAACTGTTGCTCTCACCTTCATATAAAAAGGAGGGGGGGGGGGTGGGGGGAGAATGGTAGTCGACCCCACCAATAAAGGGCCCCACCTACGCCATCTTCTCCTTCTGGAAAATTAGAGGATGGTCGGCCCCACGATTGGCCATTATCGTATACCTTGACCGGCGACCCAACGGACAATTGCAATCTCACCCAGTCGGCATTACGACCACCGCTGCTCCACAACGCACGTCGGACTCCGACGACTAGAACCCAGTCGCCATCACCGGTCAATTTCATCACCATCAATTATCGTCATCATCAGGGGGGAGAAGGGTGACGCCATCGGATCACCATCGAGACTGGGGCCTCTTTCTTCATCGATTCGCTGCCGCTGGGCGGCAGCCGTTGCCCCACAAGCTGGCACGTCGGACTCCGACGACTGGAACCCGGTCACCATCTCTGTTCACCCCCACCGCATCCCCCTGCTGGTCGAAGAACTCCGGTCGCTTAAAGCTGCTCCCTGTCGGAGCACCTGCTATCGCCAGCGCCTTCAATGACGACCCAACAAGCTGGCACCGCTGCCTGGAGGAGCAACGAAAACCATAGCACCACCCAACCAATCTACTCCAACCAACGATTGACGAAGCATCCCCAGCAGCGTCGCCGGACTCCATCCCATGATTTAGCGCCGGCAACCGAATACAAAACACCGCCAGTTGCCGCCAGATACCCCTACGCCGAACCATCCACTCGCAACCACCACTCGTCGACCACTGGTGAACTCGCGACCCGGGTTTCTCAAACATCCTCAGTCGCCGGCGTTGCGTCTTTTGGATTTTCCCTTTTGACAGATCGAGTTCGTAGGGTGCAGCTGGAATAACCTCGCCTCTGTTCAAAATTGGTTTAAGAAGCACAAGCGGGCCCTAGGTGATGCCTTTGGTCTGATTGAATCAATTTACACGCAAAAAAAAATATAGAGTATTTGGGTTTACAACTCCATACACCCTAATGGGCTGCATATGGGCTATAACCTCTAATTTGGGCTTTCCATATATTTTAGCATTAGGCTGCGTAAAATAATCAAATGACCCCATTTTTTCCAAGAATTAATTAGTTAATCAGCCGCTTAACGCTCAAATACTATAATTTTGCTCAAATCCAGTTCCAGAGGATACGTTGCAGTCCGACTAGTTCTACATTCTCTCTCTCTAAAAAAAAGGGAGGAGAAGAGTAGTACGCTACTGCTACTTATAAAACATTTCGAATTGACCCTCAGCGACCACGCTGACCGGCTATCAGCAGCCGTATTGACCAACTCCAGGAAGTCTCACTGCTCAGCTCTTAGTAGCCGCGCCGCCTGGATCTCAGCAATCGCGCAGCCCAGACCTCAGCGACCACGCGAGCCAACTCAGCAGTCGCAAAGCCCTGTTATGAGCAGTTACATTGTTTGACTCCCAGCTCTCGGCAGCCGCGCTAACCAGTTTTGTTAGCACTTGTGTGCTCTAGCTTTTTCAGCAGCTATGTCGCCCAATTTCCCGCAACTATGCATCCATCGTTTCCATTCCTCACCTCCTCTAAAAAAAAGGGGGGGGGGAAGTAGAGTCGGTACAACACTATGCAGGAGTGATTTTCATTCCAAAAGGGCATAGTTGAAGTACACAAAGAGCTAATACTTTGCGATAGTGCATCCCCGAGGCGGCGTTAATATCCCGAATCGAAAGAGCAACCCCGTGGCTCAACCCTTAGTAGTCTCGTTACCCGGCTCTCAGTGGTCATGCTGCTCATCTATCGCTAGCAGCTCGATGCTCAGTTCTCAGCAACCCCATTGACCAGCTCTCGACGGCGGTCTCGCTACGCACCACTTGACGGTAGCTACACTATCTAGCTCTAAGTAGCATCCCCGCATAGCCCTCGACAAACAGTCAAGACACCGAGGCATCAATTATTAGTACGACTAGCGATGCAGCAAAGCATCAGGTACCATTCCACTTTAACCCAGACTGATCACACGAGCTAGACGCATAGATTTTGGGGTGCTACGCCCAATCATGCGAGGTTCAGTAGCATCGCCTCGAGTCGCTTGGCTTCTCAGCCCGACTCCATTATAGCGGCAAGCTCCGCATGCGAGGTTCAGTACCCTCGCCTTGAGTCGCCCGGCTTCTCAGCCCGGCTCCATTATAGCGACAGGCTCCGCATGCGAGGTTCAGTACCCTCGCCTTGAGTCGCCTGACTTCTCAGCCCGGCTCCATTATAGCGGCAGGCTCTGCATGCGAGGTTCAGTACCCTCGCCTTGAGTCGCCTGGCTTCTCAGCCCAGCTCCATTATAGCGGCAAGCTCCGCATGCGAGGTTCAGTACCCTCGCCTTGAGTCGCCTGGCTTCTCAGCCCGACTCCATTATAGTAGCAAGCTCCGCATGCGAGGTTCAGTACCCTCGCCTTGAGTCGCCTGACTTCTCAGCCCGGCTCCATTATAGCGGCAAGCTCCGCATGCGAGGTTCAGTACCCTCGCCTTGAGTCGCCTGACTTCTCAGCCCGACTCCATTATAGCGGCAAGCTCTGCATGCGAGGTTCAGTACCCTCGCCTCGAGTCACCTGGGTTCTCAGCCCGACTCCATTATAGCGTCAAGCTCTGCATGCGAGGTTCAGTACCTTTGCCTCGAGTCGCCTGGCTTCCCAGCCCGACTCCAGTATAGCAACATGCCCCGACCATTCCACGCGATGCTCTCTCACGTGATCTATCTACAATCACTAGCAGCCAAGCCCGATCCATTCCGTGCGATGCTCTCCCGCGTAACACCTCCATGATCATTGGCTGCTAAGCCCAAGCTATTCTCCTAAGTCGCGCATCACAAGCTTCTTCCACACCATGATCCTGGTGCTTCCTCTCTCACAGTCATCATGATTCTCTTGTGCTCGGACGATCGATGAAGTGTTATCCACATTACAACCTGCTATAGTGAGGATGCTCTCTAGCAAGAAGGTCATCCCGACAGCGGCCCTACTACCTACGACCCCACAACACCTCTATTTCATGGCTCTCGGAAACAGTCCTGCTGCGTAACCCTACCTGTAGCCTTGCCGCGTACCCCACGACACCTCTATTTCCTGGCTCTCGGAAACAGTCTTGCTGCGTAACCCTACCTGTAGTCTCGCCGCGGCATCTCTGTTTCCTAGCTCTCGGAAATGGTCTCGCTGTGTAACCCTACCTGTAGCCTCGTCGCGTACCCTACGACATCTCTGTTTCCTGGCTCTCAGAAATGGTCTCGCTGTGCAACCCTACCTGTAGCCTCGTCGCGTACCCCACAACACCTCTGTTTCCTGGCTCTTGGAAACGGTCTTGCTATACAACCCCAACCTATAGCCTCACCGCCTATCCCTTAACAGTTCTATTGTCTGGATATCGGCAATAGTCTCACTGCGTGACCCTCGCTAGCAACCTAATCGCACAGCTCTCGTAATACCTTCCACTTATATTATGGTCAACAACCTTACGGTTTATTGGTTTGACAACATAGTCTGACACGGCTACCTAGGCTGCCCACATCAGACTGGGGGGAATCTAGCTAGGTGTAGCCCGAGCAAAAAAGACCCTCAAGACAGTTATTAATGCAGACTATGTAGATGGTTACTGGTGGCATCCCATCTCGCATGACTACCACAACAATCACGATGGATAACAGTATCAGGGACTGAATGGTCACAGCAACAGTTACGTTGCATCGCACCGATCAGCTTGTACTCCTCTCAATGAAGGAGTATCAAGTCAGCTCAAGCAGTACTTGGCTCATCGCACGACCCCATGGCTCTCATGGGCAAGGTTCAGTAGTTCTCTTTATTATTCATTGCTTTGGTGCTTTATCTAGTCCGATCCGATTGTCAGCAACCCAATCGCATCAGACTAGGGGGACTTGACGACGCACAGTTTTTATGACTAGTTCCAGTCCGATGTCATTGGCCGTGTACCAATAACACCAGACTGGGGGGACTTGATGACATATGGTCCACTAGCATGGCCCAGACTGCTCTAGCGTGCCAGCCTAGCCTGGCGCGCTCCTGCCAGCCTTGCCTGGCGTTCTCCTGCCAACCTTGCTGGGGACTCCTTTGTCAGCCTCGCTGGGGACTCTCCTGTTGGTTTATATGACTAGTTCCAGTCCGATGTCATTGGCCGCGTACCAATAACACCAGACTGGGGGGACTTGATGATATATGGTCCATTGGCATGGCCTAGACTGCTCCAGCGCGCCAGCTTGGTCTGACGTTCCCTTGCGAGCCTTGCTGGGGACTCCCTTGCCAGCCCTGCTGGGGACTCTCCTGCCGGCTCGGCCAGGCGCTCCCTGCCTGGGGCGCGCCCGCCAGCCCCGCCCGGTGCCTCCGGGCGGCCTTGCCCAGCTCCTTGCTAGTTGGGCCTGAATTGGGCTGGCCCAAGGCCTGACCTAATTGTCCCCTATATAATGAATAGTATCTCCTCTACGGAGAAGGATCTTTCTGATAGGTTTTAGGTAAAACAAATAAACCAGAAAACAATTCCTAAGTTCACATGCAACCTACTTTGGATCTATGTTTTAACTATTGAACATACAACTTTGAATTGCAAAACAAGAACCCTAGAGGAGGAGGCTATTTTCGAAAATAGTAAACTAGGGTTTAGGAGTTACATACCTTTCAATTGTTATAGCAAACAATTGATAATTCCCTTGATCTTGATCTTGATCTTCTTGGAAGCTTAGACCACAAGTGTAATGCCTCTAATGGAATCACACCCAAGAACTAGCAACAAGGAAAGTAGATATGCAATTCGGCCCAGAAAGAAAGAGTGCTGAAAGGCAGGCCTAGGGTTTCTTCCAAAGAACAGAGTGGCTGAAAATGTGAGCCAGGAGGCTCCTTAAATAGCTGAGGGAACTAGGGTTTTGGGAAAACCCTAATGCTCCTTGCTTAAGGCCTAAGCAAAGCCCAAGGGCCTTATCTAGAACCCCTTGGACGAAATCTCTAGGGTTTCCCCTATGGATTTCGTCCACCTCCTTCCAAGGAGGTTCTGGATCCTTCCACTCAACTATTAGTTAATTGCAAACTAGTCCCTGCACTTTATAATTAATTCTTTTAACCCCAAAATTAATTCTGATTAATTTCTGGCTAACTATTAATTAAACATAATGATTTCTAATTAATATATTAATCCACTAACATATTAATAAATCATTTATATATTAATTTATTAATCTTATAAATTAATATCTCTCCTTTCATAATTTCCTTGTCCAGTTGCTAGGTTGAGGGCAACCCAAAAGGACTGTGCTGCTATCAATTCAAGTACATACCAATTATAGTTATGGGCTTAGACACCTAATCCAACAGTCTCCCACTTGGATAAGTCTGTAACTATAATTGCTAGTATGCCTTCTAAATTTGACCAGCAAATTGTAGCTTCCAAAAAACTGCCGCCGAACTCTGACCCGGTCAGTTACATGTCCTAAGATAAGTGATCATATAATCCTTCGTTCTCCTAGATATCCCCAGACAAAAGACATGGAATATAATCAATCTCTTTGTCCAGAATCTATGTTTCTTGATTCCTGATTTGTGATGATGTAGGACTTCTAATCGAACACATCAATCTAGTCCTGGCTGGGCCCAACACATAAGTCAACACCAAATCATCGAGGGGCCCACAAATATCGCTTTTCCTGTTAGGGCAAAAGGAACGAATAAACGTTGACTCATATGCTTGTGTCTTTTACTCATCAAATTATGCATGACAATACGTTTTATAACACCAAGTTAATGATGCGTTTTCGTATCACCAATGCATG